CCCCCCACCTCTTCCCCCCTTCTGATTGCACTCACCTGAGCCCAGGTAATGGCCGGAGGTGTCAGCTGAGTGTGATCAGAATGGTGGAGAGGAGTCCAGTATGGAAGTAGGTGAGTCACATGGGTGTGCTGGTAAAATAAATCAGGACAGATGACATTAGACATGAGCGGGATCAGCGCAGGGGGACATTTCCCGACACACCGCTGACTTCCTGTCTGGTAACCCCAGTACTGAATCCTGCTAGCCGGTGTCATCTAAAATCAGATTGTAATATGTGTGGTCACCTCCAAGCAGATGAATGTTGTTTCTGAGGGAAGATACTACATATGTGATAGTAAAGAGTTAATTTCCAGGACCCTATAAATAGTTAGGTGGGGGGGGGGGAGGGATACGTGACCCCGGGGTTGTTGGTCACTTGGTACAGTAACGGGTACGTGCCACATTCCTCAGATCCGGATCAACAAACATCTCGAAGCCAAAGGACAGGAATGTTCAATACTGAGGCTCGGGAGGCAGCGCCCAGAGCAAGCAGATGGAAGGCAAGGATGATGCGATTTCAGGCTGGAGGTGAAGAATGATCTGCTTGTGGCTCCTCCCCCTCATATGACATCTTAAAATCTTTCCATTATCATTGCATTATTTTATACCCGGTGATGTCATCACTGGGTCTCTGTGCTTCTCTATGCATGGCAGGCAGATCATGGTCCACAGGGTGCTGTACATAGCTTTGCTAGTCACTGCTCTTTGATTTGCATTATTCGAAAGAGTTTGAAAGTTCCCGGGTTACTCTCATTTTAGCTTTCATTTATATTCCTCAATAGCCACAAAATAAAAAAATCTAACTGTGCGAACCGAATACCTTTACAAACCCAGATATTACCTAATAAAAATAGATGTGACATCATCACTGTGCTGTACATAGCCTGTGCAGAGAGCAGAGCTGTGGGAGGGACCCAGCAGGCCCCACCCACTGAAGGAGGGGGGTGGAGACAAGACCAGTCACCCTGCACTAGAACAGAGAGCAGAAGTAAGCTGTCTTTATTACAGGAGGGGGCGGAGACAAGACCAGTCACCCTGCACAAGGAGAGAGAGAGCAGCAGTGACCGGTCTTTATTACAGAAGGGGGTGGAGACAAGCCCGGTCACCCTGCACAAGGAGAGAGCAGCAGTGACCGGTCTTTATTACAGGAGGGGGTGGAGACAAGACCAGTCACCCTGCACAAGGAGAGAGAGAGCAGCAGTGACCGGTCTTTATTACAGAAGGGGGTGGAGACAAGCCCGGTCACCCTGCACAAGGAGAGAGCAGCAGTGACCGGTCTTTATTACAGGAGGGGGGCGGAGACAAGGCCAGTCACCCTGCACAAGGCGAGAGAGAGAGCAGCAGTGAGCGGTCTTTATAAAGGTGCCCATACACCTGCCGATTATCGTACGATAGTTGTGGGTGATCCCGCGATAGTACGATAATTGGCAGGAGAATGGAAGGCGTGCGACCGCTTCTACTGTACGTTCGCACGACTTTTCCGAGCACGCTGGAAAAGCTGCCGATGATCACAAGTACGATCTGCTTTGTCCAAGATGGGCAGGTCGTACGAAATTTGAATCATCTTACAACCATCGCACAACGAAAGTCATGCGATGGTTGTAAGGTGTATGGGCAGCTGTAGACGGACGATCGTCAGCAGGTGATCTCTCTGCACCCAGGGCCGATCGTCCGCAGGTGATCGCAGCATGCCCAGTTACATGCGGTTGGCTGCAGGCTCTGTCAGCTGTCATTACTTAGCACAGCGCTTCCCGCAGCTGTCCGCATGGGCCTCACGGAGCAATTCGTGGGGCTCATCCCATCAGAGCAAAACAGCCGCCGGAGTCACCCCAGGGTGAGCCGATCATCAGAGCCATGTCCAGCGCAACTCCCGGCATCCTCCTAGAAGAAGCCATGCTCGCTGCAGCAGAGAGCGCAGTGATGGAAGACATAAGTACATTTCCTTAAATTAAATGTGACATTCTTTTTAAGGTGACACCTCTCTTCTTCTTTTTTTTTTTTTAAGGTGGAAATGTACGCCCCCAAATCCGGACAGAGATAACCTAAGACTCCTTCTTCTACGATCTCTGTGCTGTTTAACCCTTAGGCGATCCTTATGTCCCTGTAGGAGGATGCAGAGTTTGGGGTTGGAGGAGGGCTCCTGGGTTTTCCACCTCTCCCGTGTTCTGCATTCCAGGGACTCCGGCTGTCAATCAGCAGCGCTCAGTCCCCTCTCTCCTCCTCCTCCATTGCTCTGAATCCCTCATCCTCTCCACATCCCAGGACCAGCAGAGCAAACTCAATCAGGAGTCAGACACCCCTCAGTCAGGGGGCTGCGATCCGGAGGAGCGAGGGGGACATAGGGACCGCAGGCAGCCTTGCCGAGGACTTGAAGGATCCGGGGGATAAAGATGGTCTGGTTCCCAGCTCTTGGGTTCCTCTTATTGGTCCACTTGGTGGCCCCTCAGGCGCCGGTAAGTCATCTCGCACACTCTGCTTGCTTGCTCTGTATCTCCAGTACCTGTTGCCACCCCCTTCACCCTACAGAAAAGGGAACCGCCGCGGAGATGTCATTCCTTATGGTCTACGTCGGCGCTCCATCGCCTTTTTGTCACCGCTGTCTAGTTAACCCTTTCCTGCAGCCAATGGTGGTCGCAATACTCAACGCCGTTATTTTTCATAGTCCACGGTAGAACTGGACTGGCGGCGATACCCAAGACAGCGTTTTGGAAGTGCAATTTTTTCCTAAAAGTAGAACATTTATTTAATTATTACATTATTTTATTGACCTCATTTATGGGTCATAGTTTTATTTTCTTTCTTGATCTGAAGCGGTATCGATTGATCTGATTGGCTGATCAGACATCAATGAGATCCTACTCTCAGCAACAGCCTGCTCTCCTTGATACATTGGCTTGCAGTATTGTGCTCAGTGATCAGCACCCCAATAGCCCCCCACCCAGCCAACCCTCCTTCCTCGCCACTTACCCCTGTGACATTCCAGACTGTACACTAGTTAAAGGCTTCAGATGGAAGCTGTGGGACCCCTGAGTGCAACACACCTTGCCTGGGTTACAGTTGCCGCGTGATGTCCACCATATGCCATAAGCTACGACATGCTCATCATTAACATGATTTACAGGAAGAATTTGTTGCCTTTAGACCAGGGGTAGGGAACCTCAGCACCACGGCTGTTGTGGGACTACAAGTACAAGGGGGCATTGCAAGGCTCTGAGAACCTCTGCACTCCAGCTGTTGTGGAACTACAAGTCCCATGGGACATTGGTAGACTCTGAGAGCCACAGGCATGACAGCCAGAGGCAGAGAGACTTGTAGGTTCACAACGGCTGGAGTGCTGAAGTTGCCTACCCCCTGCTTTAGACAGCACAGGTAACCTCAATCAACCGGCTTCCACCGTTCATTTTGAGAACTCAGTTACTGTTCCTTACTGTGCTTTTGCCTTGGCTTCTTAAAGGGGCCACCACAAATTAGTAGAAACCTTGTTATTAAGAAAATGTGAAGCTATTGTTTTCTATATTGGGTTAGTTTCAGATATGGTCTACTGACCATATCGTGCACCAACAGCTTTAGTCCAGTGATAGGCAACTTTGGTGCTCCAGCTGTAGTGAAACTACAAATACCGGCATGCTTCTGCCTCTGGGAGTCATGCCTGTGGCTGCCGAAGTCTTGCAATGCCTCATGAGACTTGTAGTTCCACAACAGCCAGTGTGCTGAGGTTACCTACCGTATGACTTAGTCCGGGGGGTAGGCAACCTGGGCATTCCAGCTGTGGTGAGCCTACAAATCCCAGCATGCCTCTGCCTTTGGGAGTCATGCCTGTGGCTACCAGAGTCTTGCAATGCCTCATGGGACTTACAAGAGTTTTTAATGCTGTTGGTCCCCCCCCCAAATAATAGCCAGGGGCCAGTACTTATTATGGTACATAAGAGAAGAATTGATTGTTGATTGGTTGTCATGGGTTACCGCCATCTGTCCTTGAAAGGGTGATGCAGTAACTGTCCCATGCACTGGTAATGTTCTATCAGGGGCAGTTAGATTCATTGCCAGGATCCATCGATGTTGATAAATTCTGATCTATGTGTTTTTAATATTCTTCTTCTTTATAGTGTTCTATGTTTATAATACTGTCTGCTCCTAGTTCCCTGTCGGTGCTGTTATTCCACGATGGAATGTCATTCCCCCCTCCCGAAAAGAAACAAAGACCCTCTTGTCTGGTGCCCATTTTCATCCACTTCCCCTCTGAAGGGTCTCTGATGTTTAGTCGCTGGCTCCCCAGCTATATAAACACTGCGGGATATTGCTACACATGCGTTTTGTTCTTTCCTGTCTGCCGGGACAGTGCGAGGCTTGTGTGTTGTGTTCTTTGATGGCTCTTTATGGGTTTACAGTTCAGCCACTCGGCCTTTAGAAACAACAGCAAGTGCTAGCACTGCATGGCTATACGGTGGAGGGTTTCCATTATTTTGTCATCCTTGCTCAGTGATTTGTGGGCTCTCTAGACAAGACAAGTCAATTTTTAAAAAAATGCTGGCCCTGTCCATTTATGGTAACGGTAGCCACATATAGACACAGCTTGTAGGTGTCTACAAAGTCTACTTACCCCAAATCATTGGGTTGCTGCATGCTAGTGCAAATTGCAGCCCTGATTGGGCACAGTTACACCCAGTACATGTGCAGTCAAAAATAGTTTTGCTTCTGCTGAAAAAGATCGAGGTCAATGGATCAGATTGGGGGTATATGACAGCAGGATGAAGTCCTGGCAACCGACAATGGTCAATGGCATGCATCTGTAGAAAAATTGCCCCTCTAGCTTGTGTCCATTGGTGGTATCAGGGCAGATACCAGGGCGAGTAGTGGAATTTGATCAAACAGCTCAGCCTGCTCAGACTGGGGCGCTACGTGGACCCACCTTCAACATGCCCTTATAGTGTGCCAGATGGTAGAGCCATATACCTACTACTAGCCGGCTACTAGATGGCCTACCGGCCATCTGCCAACCAAAATGGCCTTCCTCTAGTACCAATAATTGGCTAATGTGTACTTAACGTTATATAAGACCACGGGGTCCAACATATAATTGTTAGAATTGTGAACAATCGTGTCAGAGATTCAGATGGAATGCCCTTACGATCTCTGAAAATTGGACGATCTTGGCCCAAAGGAGCCGGCCATCTTGCAGACACCAGTCATAGCTGCCTCATAATTATTACAAAAGATGCCTCTATTGGGAGATGGTTTTATGTATCTACTACTCCTTCAGTAACAAAGCTGATCATCTTCTTCCATGTTCAGCCAGTGCTCCTCATACTTTCATGTCCCATTTGAAAATGCTTCAGCTTTAACAGCTGTATTGTAGACCAGCCTTTCTCAGCAAGGGTTTCCGTGGATCCCTAGGGTTCCTGCAGAGCTTGCTAGGGGTTCCTCCAGAGCATGCTATGGGTTGTTTCAGAGCTTGCTAGGGATTCCCTGGGCAATTAGCAGTTTTTACCTCCTAGATAAGTAACCATTGACACCAATTATTTTTTCAGATACCTGTAGGGGAGGGCATTATTCCCACTGACCATCAACATAATGGGGCTTGTCTCCACCAACCACCAATCTAAAGAGGCCCTTCTCAACTGACCACATCACTGACTCCCAATGTCAATGAAGACTTCACTGACCATCAATGTTAATGTGGACTTTATAGACCACCAATGTTAATGGGGACTTCATTGCCCACCAATGTTAGTGGTGACTTCACTGACCACCAATGGTGATGGGGACTTCACTGCCCACCAATGTTATTGGGGACTTCACTGAACACCAATGGTGATGGGGACTTCACTGGCCACTAATGTTGGTGGGGACTTCACTGGCCACCAATAGTAATGGAGACTTCACTAGCCACCAATGTTAGAGGGGACTTCACTGACCACTAATGGTAATAGGGACCTCACTGACCACCAGTGTGAAAGAACACTCCAATTTTCACAGTTGAGTTCTTTTTCTGGACTTTCTTATGTTTTATTTCATTTTTATTACTGAAAGTGATTTTGTTGTATAGAGCAGCCCTGGCTGTCATATACACTAAGAATGTCACATTTCTTATTCTTTTACTTATTCTTACTTCCACCACTTACTGATCACTCTGATGTCCCATGAGCTGTAGATATAATAATTATTAGTAAGGGTTCCCTGAGTCCTAAACGTTGTTTTTTGGGGTTTCAATGCAAAAAAAAAAGGTTGAGAAAGGCTGTTGTAAACTGTAAGAACCATTCTCAGCGTTCCAAGTCCCGGAGCACTCATCAAAGTATATTGTGTCTATAAAACTTAACAACATAATGTGGTTCAGTTATAACTGTATACCCAGAGGTGTGTAATGTACGTGTCACCACTTCGGGAAGAGTAAGGAAGACACTTTCCAAAGATACGCAAAGGATGACCCTACGCTGCCCCCTACCTATATGACCTGTGTGCTGCCCCCTACCTATATGACCTGTGTGCTGCCCCCTACCGATATGTCTTGTGGGCTGCCCCCTAACTATATGACTTGTGTGCTGCCCCCTACCAATATAACTTGTGTCCTGCCCCCTACAGATATGACTTGTGTGCTGCCCCCTGGCTATACGACTTGTGTGCTGCCCCCCTAACTATATGACCTGTGTGCTGCCCCCTACCGATATGACTTGTGTGCTGCCCCCTAGCTTCACAACTTGTGTGCTGCCCCCTACCTATCCATCTTGTGCACTGCCCCCTTTTTATATCACTTGTGTGCTGCCCCTTGGCCTGTACAGCTTGTGTTCTGCCCCCTGCCTATATGACTTGTGTACAGCCCCTGCCTATATGACTTGTGTGCTGCCCCCTGCCTCTCCCTCTACAGCCTATCTATCTTGTGTACTGCCCCCTTTTTATATGACTTGTGTGCTGCCCGCTGCCTATCTATCTTGTGTACTGCCCCTGTCTATATGCCTATACAACTTGTGTGCTGCCCCCCGCTTGGTGGGATTTTCTATGGGACATCAGGGGCATGGGACAACTTACAAATTAATGGTACTATGCTTCAGAAAGAGCAACTGCAGACCAACAAAGAGAATTCTGGTGCTTCTACGTTAGCCAGACTCAGATTATCATCTGTGAAGGTGGGAAGGGGGTTCAAACTCATCACAAAGGTGAGGAATGTCACATGAGAGGTCTTCCCAAATAATCCTCACTTTGTCCAAGAAAAGCATGTGACCTCATGCCATCTGCATCGAGACAAGCCAGGTGGCAGTCCACGTCTGGGACCAAGCTGGACAGTTAGTTCACATTTGGCATTAACTCACCTTTGTATGCCTAGATACCACTTTATGAATAAAAATTGATCATAATACTACGTATATATAAAATTTTTACCACTTATTGGATTCTGCCATTTGACATATAAAGTGTAACCAGCAGAGACGTGATTTGTAATTGGTCGCTGAGGGATATATGAATGTTCATTGGGTGTTGCACCAACATCAAAGGTCAGTCAAGTCCATAGGAAATCTTGACCCTCTACGATCTAAGAGTCTTAGATGCATAACACAATAATAATTTGGCAAGTGCAGGTTGTAACTTCATCCAATCAGATATAATCTTCAATTGGGCACCTCAATGTGATCTGAATTCTGATTGGTTGTAAAGCAAAGGTGTTACCAATGTTTGAGTTTTTCACCCTTTTTACCCCAGCTTATATCAAGGTACTAACCATCTGGGATCACCTGGACACGTGTTGGTTCTGATCATTTGTTCTTTGAACTTTTTGTCCCTAGTTTTCACATTATCTTCAGTTTTTGTGAATATTTATTGCACAATGGGGGTTGTAGGTCTCATAACTCTTATATTATAACCTATATGGAATGGTATATTGGTGCATGCTAAAGGTCAGAGTAAGTGTGACTGGTTGGGTTTCTCAGCATCAGAAGATCCTCAATGTTATCTTCCAGGGAACTAACTGGAAATATCTATTTTTCTAGTCCTGGAAATGATGTCTCTTTAACAATATTTGCCATAATATGAGCTTTGTAACCTCATGTGATCTCCTCATTGTACCTTTTTCCTATCTGCTAGTGACAATGTCCCCTTGTCTATCTTTCTGCAGAGAGCGGGACCTCCAGGACCACCCGGCCCACCTGGACCTTCTGGAATACCAGGCAAGGATGGAATAGATGTGAGTAGCTCTGATTGGCTGAGGGTGGACACAGCGGCTGGGGTAAGAGCTGTGTGCGCGGGTTAACCCTTTCCCTGCTGGAGGGGTCCTCAGTCTCGATGTCTCTTCGCCCTGTGATTGGTTGTTAACTGGTTAAAGGAGTTTCTGTGTGCAGGAGAGGTGGTGTGTGTTGATTCAGTGGGGTACAAAGGATGCTCTGTGTATTGCTCTCAGCAACCTCTCCCCCCTCCCCTAACAGACTCCAGCCAGGAGGGACCAGACTGTGCACAGAGCTCCTTGTGTGCTGCTCATATGTGAGCATTGCCTGCTCCTATCAAAGGCTCAGGGTCCTCATCCATCTGAGGAGCTCAGACTTCTCTGGACAGGACGCGTCCTTATTCACGTACCGATCTTTAAATAACCCGGCTCCTCTATTTTTTCCCAAAAAGGATCCACAAGTTATCTTTGTTTCCACGAGCTTCTAATGCTGTTTGAGAATATGAATGTGCATGGTATGTTAAAGGCTTGGTATCAAATGCTGGCTTTTGCATGCAAATGCAGCGCTGTTCAATGCATGCGGTTGAGTGCAAAAACCTGTGTTACCTGTAATGTAAAAGAAACCAATCAAGGTGCGAAATGGGAATCTGCAGACCTGTGCTTGATGTGCACTTTGAATGCAGGGAAACAACACTTTGCCCTAAAAAAGTGACATTTTATGGACCCTATCCCATCCATTAATAATGACCTTTGCTGTGCTGTACCCACCAATCTGTTCATGTTTTGGAGCCCTCAGAAGCCCCCAATGCTTCTCCTCTTACTCCCAGGATGCAGTGCCCGGGCCTCAGCAGCCAATCCCCAGGCCTGACCAGCTCCAACACAGACCGATGTGAAATTTACACAGGGTCTAGACCCACACCCCAGCAGATAAACAGAATGGCGGAGGAGCACAGCAGAGATAAGCATCACAGGGTGGGTAAAGCGACAGATTCTCTTTAAAGTGAACCTGTGCACAATTTGAGAGTTGTATAGTAATGGCTAGCTTGTAGTAGATGCTACAAGTGACTTTATTACTAAAAGCCCCAGTGAGTCAGGTCCAGGACAAGTTGAAACTAAATCAGAGAGGACCACAGAAAAGGTTTTAATGGTCAATAGGCATTCATAGTCATTTCCATTGGCTGCCCAGCCCCATCCCATCATTCAGTGTAGATGTTTACTGCGTGCATGGGCAGCCAATAGACATGTCTCTGGGTATCTGGCCAGCCAACATGCACATGTCTCTGGGTATCTGTTGAGCCAGTAGACATGTCTCTTGGTATCTGTCCAACCAAGAGACATGTCCCCGGGTATCTGGTTGCCAAATAGACATGTCTCTGGGTATCTGACCAGCCAGTAGATGTGTATTTGGGTATCTGACTAGCCATTAGATATGTCTCTGGGTATCCGGCCAGCCAATAGATATGTCTCTGGGTATCTGACCAGCCAATATAATGTATGTCTCTGGGAATCTGGCCAGCCAATAGACATGTCTCTGAATATCTGTTCAGTCAATAGACATGTCTCTATGCATCTGGCCATCCAATAGAGATGTCTCTGGGTATCTGGCCGGCCAATAGACATGTCTGTGGGAGATGCCACCCCTTCTTGATGGTTGATTCACCTGTTCTGAGAAAAATGTGTGGAAGAGAATGGCATGTTTGATGTCCAGCCTGTTTGACAACCACGGCTCCCTCCATAGATACAGTAAGTGAGTGTTGTCACCTTACGACAGAAAGTGTTTTTTTGGAGTGCAATTACCGTTTCCTCCATACGAACATTGTGTTCGAGGAGGAGGCGAGCTGGCATAGGGAACTGCACCCATCGTTGGTTGGACAGGGCATACAGACCTAAGAGCGAAGCTGTTGTATCTATAATGAGGGTAGTTAGAGTAAGTAAAACCAATTACACACAGCACAATCTGACAGTCTTTAGATCTTCCAATAACTATGTAGCCCAAGAGTCTACCTGATTGTATACAACTTGACTGATAGTTTAGGTGGGTCCTCATATCTCATAGTTGTGTATATGTAAAGCAGATTCCACATTCAGACTGTAATGTGTATGGGGAGCTTTTATTTAAGGGTTACAATAATTTCTAGTGTGGCTCTGACGTGCCAGTAAAATGATAGTTACAATTTTGCATACGTCTTCAGAACGCAATTGTGTTGAAGTGTGGTGTAGACAATATGAACAATCCGAGGACCTCACAAGGAAAGTCTAAAGCCGGGGTGGACACCCTCAGGACTCCAACTGTAGTGTGGAACTACAGATGCCTACCCCTGGTCTGAAAGCTTATAAAAGGTTTCCTAAATCGGTCTAAAGACTCGGGCCTCCATTGGTTCAGGCAGGTGGTTCACAAATGAAATAATTCAGAATGTGGTCAGTCTGAACCTTCTTTAGAAATCAGTAATTTGTAGAATCCTCAAACAGATGGTAGACATCTCTAGGGTGACAAATACGGACCTACGGGAACTCAAGAACTTGGTAACATCTACTATCTGCCCTCCAAAAAAATGACTTCCTGTCTCCAGTTTGCTTAAAGTGAACCTGTTCTTTGTCTATAGTGGCCAAGGCGCTAGGTTCACTTTAATGGTGCCCTTCCCAGCAGCATATTGCTTCCATTGCAGCTCTCCCACCTCTCTGTTGAAGACATTTCCCAGTACATGTAGTACTGGAAGGACATGTGGTTCATGCCATGTAAGAGCATTGGTGTTTGGTGATTGGTTAGCACTGACACATGGGTGGGGGGGTCCTCAGTGCTGTAAAAACGACAGCAGAAGGTACATGGGGCTTGCACAATGTTGTCTTGCTTTGCACCCTAAATGGAGCAGCGGGAGAGTGAAGGAAACATTAAAATGTATTACTGGGTAGGAATTAAAGTGAATCCGTTGCTTGCCCTGCATTGGCAAAGCACAGGTTAACTTTAAAACCACCTTGATGTTTCACAGCATTACCGGACCAATGGTCTGTAGACATATAAGACCAAAGTATACATTTTTTATAAATGTCACCAAACTAAAACCTTATACCAATGTTGAGGCATGAAGGGTGGACTCTGTTGGGTGGCCACTGCTTTGCTGCCTCAGGGTCTGGATGGCTTGCAGTCATTGAGCAGAAATTCCAAGCTGTATCTGGAAATTCTACAGCAGAATATAAGGGTCGATTTGGTTCACACAACACAACAAAGTGGCTTCTACATAAAACAAGTTATGTATTTCACAAAGAACAAGTCAGCGTCTTGACCACAAGCCCGTTGAAATGCTGTGGTGTGATCTATAGCTGCATGCTCGAACAAGACTTTCCAACATACATGAACAGGAACAGTATTATATTTAGGCACCTCCTAGGTTCTGGCCAGGTCTCATCAGTAGCTACAGAAAGTGTTTGGTTGAGGTTATTGCCCATACAGAAGGGTTCAACTAGTTCCTAAGCCTGAATTTATTTATTATTATGGCTGATATAAGTATACAAGGATAGTCCCTGTGTGAAATCCTCCTTGCTGTTCTTTTGTTTAATTTGTACTTATTTATCTACATTAAGGGTAGGTAACCTCCGCACACCAGCTGTAATGAAACTACAAATTCCATCTGCCTCTGGGAGTCATACCTGTGGTTGTCAGAGTTTTGCAATGGCTCATGGGGTTTGTAGTTCTACAACAGCTGGAGTGCCGAGGTTGCCCACCCGTGATCTACATAAAGGTAACCATATTTGCTCATTACATATGCACAGTGTTCAGTCTTTACTTAAATGTGCCATAAAAATGTTTTGGCTTGGGTAGCTGAACTGGCCTTACAACGCATTTCGGGGGCACACTTTTCCCTTATTGCTGGTTTTGAACAGATCTGAGTGACTGTCAGTGCATTTGGGGGGCTCACCAGTCCCCTTTATCAGCTTGCAGTTAAAGAATAAAAGACTTGGTAGCAAACTGGACACGTGTGAAATGGTTAAAGAAGAACTCTGGGCATGTAAAAAATTAACCCTTGCAGTGGGGCATGACTTTTGTACATGCTGTGATGGCTGCTTCTAGGACTCTGCTTCACTTACTACTGACCTTTGAACCCTGCGTTACTTACCACTGACCCTTGAACCCTGCGTTACTTAATACTGACTTATGAAAACTGCGTTACTTACCACTGACCCTTAAACCCTGCATTACTTACTACTGACCCATGATCCCTGTGTTACTTACTACTGACCAATGAAACCTGCGTTACTTACCACTGACCTATGAAACCTGCGTTACTTACTACTGACCCTTGAACCCTGCTTTACTTACTAATGGCCTATAAACCTGCGCTATTTACCACTGACCCTTGGACACTGCGTTACTTACCACTGACGTTACCACCACTAACCTGCGTTACTTACTGTTGACCCATGAACTCTACGTTACCTACTACTGACCCATGAACCCTGCATTACTTACTACTGACCCTTGAACCCTGCGTTACTTACTACTGACCCTTGAACCCTGCACTACTTACTACTGACCCTTGAACCTTGTGTTACTTACTACTGACCTTTGAGCCCTGAGGCACTTACTACTGACCCTTAAACCCTACATAACTTACTACTGACCCATGAACCTGCATTACTTACAACTGACCCATGAACCCTGCATTACTTACTACTGACCCATGAACCCTGCATTACTTACTACTGACCCATGAACCCTGCATTACTTACTACTGACCCCTGGACTCTGCGTACCTTTGTCTTCTTTACATCTTCAATGTCTGCTTCCTCTTCCATAAATCTGTGACCAATTGTTTCAGGGCATGCTAAAAATGGGGGCATGATTTTGTGGGTGTGGCTACAAATGGGGGGGGGGGGGGTGGGGGTTTAAAGTGTGTCTCCAGATTTCATTTTGAAAATCTGGTAGCCTTAAACTAGAAACCCTTATGAAGGGGGGGGCAAGTGAGCCCATGAAACACGTTGCAACAAAACGAAAAACCATAAGCGCACAACTGATAATTGGTTACTGGAAAAAACACGGGCTATGAATTATGGTGTGCAGGCTCTCACTAGCAGGGAGAGGACCCTGCAAATTCGAATGGTAAACAGAAAAACACAAGAAAGAGCGCTACTACCTGATATTGAATGGCATCTATACATGAGAGAAGGAACAAATATAAATGACTTACCGTTGGAAGTCTGCTGTGGAAGTCGTTGGGCAAAGTGGACGCTGTGCACAGACGGGCTCGCTGTATCGTGAAGTCTTAGGGCATTCTAGGGCAAAGATCTTTGCCCTAAGACTTGACAAAGAGGTTGTGCCTCGAAACGCGTAGTCATCACGATACAGCGAGCCCGTCTGTGCACAGCGTCCACTTTGCCCAACGATTTGACTCCACTACACACGCACCGAACACAGCCGCTCGCGGTCCCGGTTCCACAACCGCCGCGGTCCTTCCCCCCTCAGCCGCCGTGGCCCGGCCTGGCCAGCCGTGCACGCGTGCCGCTAGGTAACTTCACAGCGCTCCCTCATCCATCCACTGCTGCAGTATTTTGTTCTTGGACTTCCTCTGTACACCGTTCCTTGTGTCACCATCCTCGACACATTTGCAGACTTCCAACTGTAAGTCATATATATTTGTTCCTTCTCTCATGTATAGATGCCATTCAATATCAGGTAGTAGCGCTCCATGAAACACGTTGGCTACTCCTGTGACTCTCACATTAGAATATATAAATCCTCTGGGCCTATTAGACTTAGTTGGCCCTCTCACTTGTTGGCCGTCTTTTTTTGTATCACTACTTCGTTGACCTCTGCTAGATTCATTAGATGTGTACATGCCTACCAATGTCCCTTTACACTAGGGTCCAGCACTCCACCGTCAGTCTCTGGAATCCATTGGGCACTGGGCTCCTGCCTAGGTTGCCCTTTACATGACCATTTTCCCATGGCTGTACAGACCCTATGGCCTTGTGCCTGGATGGTGCCACAATTTATCATATTGAATTGAAGAGCGGATCTTCTGCCGGATCATATATTAATAATTAGAAAATAGAAATTTCCTTCCTATAATTCATGTTAGGTTTTTCTAGTGTACAGTGATGAGTTCATTCTTTTATTGTGTCTGCCTTCACAAACCTTCTACTTGATGGGAAATATAAAAACTGAATTGTCCATTTTCTGTATTTCAGGGTGAAGTCGGACCCGCTGGTTTACCTGGACCCGCAGTGAGTTAAAAAAAATGAGACCTCAAAAGCAGAACGTTATTTATGTAACATAAAGCTGAATGCCAGGCTGACAGCTATATACATCTATAAGAAGCTGTGTTACCTGCCAAAGGATTTGTATTTCTGTCCATCCGATCCTGAGATATACACATCTCTGCCACAGAGCACAGCCCTGTCTGGTGGGGCAGGAGACTCTGCTTCAATAAGTCTTGTGTCTCCCCCAGCCTATGATTGGGCGGTGAAAGGAGAAGCAGCGGACCTGATGAGTTAATCTCTCTTTCTGTTAGCACATGACCACAGCAGCTCATCTCACTGGCTCCTAGTGCTGCTTCTCCATTCCCAGTCTGAGCTCTTCTGCACAGGGACTACAAGAGGCTGATATCAGGTCAAAATGATATACTTGCTGCGCTTGCATATAAATAATCACATTTGGTGGTGTAATAATAATTACAGAGCTGCATTATAGGTGTATGTGATTTCTGCCTGGAATTCAGCTTTAATTTATATGTACATATGTATTATGTGTGTATGCCATTTGTATTGGGTTGCTGTGTTTTATCTATATGTAATGCTTTATGAGTGACCAAAGGACTTATTTGTACTGAATTCTGCTCTTATAGGGTCCAAAAGGTGCCCCAGGAAAACCAGGAGAAGCTGGAAAAGCTGGCTTGTCTGGGCTTCCAGGAATTGATGTAAGTTGAAACGTTACTATGAATGTTCCTGTAAGGTGTCCCTGTAGGAGGAGTATTGGAGAGGTGCACATGTGCAGTGTGACATGTTGATGGTACCCAGTCCAAGTCCTACGCGCAGGGCGCACTGCCGCCTAGGGTGCGCCCTGCGCTCTGTCGGCTTCCCGATACCCCTAGGTTATCCCAAGACAAGTGAGTGGTCTTCATAAAGATGGCCGAGGAGGGAAGTAGTTTGATAACGTGAGCTTTTCCCTCTAGTGTTCAAAGCCCCTCCCTCGTGACCTCAGTCAGGGACTGACCTCTGTAGCAAGTAGCTGGTCTTGCCTAGGGCGCAAAATAGTCTAGCACCGGCCCTACCTACGCGACCTCTGCAGTTACCCTCTGGATGGCCAACATCCGCGGAAGTGTTGTGTGTCTGAGTTGGTTCCTCTTAACTGATCAGTCTGGCTCTTCGTAAATAAGTGTGTGTTCCTTTCTTCCTGAGCCACCTTTGAACCCTATGCTATTAATTTTTACTTATTGATTGGGGCTGTCCTTTATTATTTTTGAGTTCTTCCTTTAATTTGGCTAAAATATCATTTTGATTTCAAGACACAAATACAGTTCTGCTTATTAAAAATTGCCAGTGTGTATTTTTTTAGAGCGAATCTGACTTTATGGGCAGTATGAATACTTATATTGACTTTATTTTTGTCCAGGGACTCACCGGACCTGATGGGAAGGCTGGACCTGATGGACCTCCAGGAGGAAGAGTACGTTGTTCCTACCGTGTCTAAACTAAGATCAGCCATAGTGTTTAGGAAGATTGCAGGTAGTATTTGGGGGGTCCTGCACCACCTTATTATAAGTTTGTATCCCGTGTTCCTTGGAGGTGAAGTGAACCTGTAGGTCTTGTTCCCATTTGGCCATAAAATAAAGAGGAAGAATCAGAAGTAGTTTATAACAAAAGGAGAGAGCAAGTATTCTTAGTCAGAGTGAGTTTCAGGAGTGAGCTAATTTTCCCCAATACCATGGCCCAAGAGGGCCCACTCAGGGTCAGTGGAGAGCTCAGCATAGGAGGGCCAGCATGATTGTTTGATGAAGTGTGGGGCCATACACTTCCCTATTATTCACATCGTCGTGAACACTTGGTCCCGGATACCCGGGGGAAGTATAGAATTAATAATGACTGATGTGTGTTGTTGCAGGGGGATATTGGACCACCTGGACCAGATGGACCCCCAGTGAGTACAGACCCACAACTCGCACATAGATGTTTCTTGTAATTCAACTTTCAGACTGTTCAATAAATGTTAAATAATGTTACTCTTGTCTTTATAGGGAAGAGGACCAACTGGACCTCCTGTAAGTGACTGTTAAACCTTTTTAGTCTAGAAATAATACATGTTTCTAACCTGACTACAAGCCCCGCTGTGGTGATCCATGATATGTCTGAAGTTGCATTTGGCTTAATCCCGTCTAACGAACCCGGTCTACTGGACCTTCCCTCCATAAGTATACCCAGACCAATAAAGTTCTGACATGTTTGTAAAAACAGGGCCCTACCTTCATGCATTTTCCCTCCTAGCTAGCCCAAACATGTTTTCTGATTTTTTTTCTTCGGCTGCTTCACCTGTGTGTAGTTCCTTGTCCCTGTTCTAATTTTTTTTTTTTGTTTGCCCTGTCTCTCCCAGCTATCACCAATCTTCCTCTTCCCTGATATCGTCCATTCTTTATAACATACCATCCATCCTCCATATCCTGCCTGTATCCCCCCCTTCCTGATACCATCCCCCCTCCCTGATACCATCCATCCTCCATATCCTGCCTGTATCCCCCCCTTCCTGATACCATCCCCCCTCCCTGATACCATCCATCCTCCATATCCTGCCTGTATCCCCCCCTTCCTGATACCATCCCCCCTCCCTGATACCATCCATCCTCCATATCCTGCCTGTATCCCCCCCTTCCTGATACCATCCCCCCTCCCTGATACCATCCATCCTCCATATCCTGCCTGTATCCCCCCCTTCCTGATACCATCCCCCCTCCCTGATACCATCCATCCTCCATATCCTGCCTGTATCCCCCCCTTCCTGATACCATCCCCCCTCCCTGATACCATCCATCCTCCATATCCTGCCTGTATCCCCCCCTTCCTGATACCATCCCCCCTCCCTGATACCATCCATCCTCCATATCCTGCCTGTATCCCCCCCTTCCTGATACCATCCCCCCTCCCTGATACCATCCATCCTCCATATCCTGCCTGTATCCCCCCCTTCCTGATACCATCCCCCCTCCCTGATACCATCCATCCTCCATATCCTGCCTGTATCCCCCCCTTCCTGATACCATCCCCCCTCCCTGATACCATCCATCCTCCATATCCTGCCTGTATCCCCCCCTTCCTGATACCATCCCCCCTCCCTGATACCATCCATCCTCCATATCCTGCCTGTATCCCCCCCTTCCTGATACCATCCCCCCTCCCTGATACCATCCATCCTCCATATCCTGCCTGTATCCCCCCCTTCCTGATACCATCCCCCCTCCCTGATACCATCCATCCTCCATATCCTGCCTGTATCCCCCCCTTCCTGATACCATCCCCCCTCCCTGATACCATCCATCCTCCATATCCTGCCTGTATCCCCCCCTTCCTGATACCATCCCCCCTCCCTGATACCATCCATCCTCCATATCCTGCCTGTATCCCCCCCTTCCTGATACCATCCCCCCTCCCTGATACCATCCATCCTCCATATCCTGCCTGTATCCCCCCCTTCCTGATACCATCCCCCCTCCCTGATACCATCCATCCTCCATATCCTGCCTGTATCCCCCCCTTCCTGATACCATCCCCCCTCCCTGATACCATCCATCCTCCATATCCTGCCTGTATCCCCCCCTTCCTGATACCATCCCCCCTCCCTGATACCATCCATCCTCCATATCCTGCCTGTATCCCCCCCTTCCTGATACCATCCCCCCTCCCTGATACCATCCATCCTCCATATCCTGCCTGTATCCCCCCCTTCCTGATACCATCCCCCCTCCCTGATACCATCCATCCTCCATATCCTGCCTGTATCCCCCCCTTCCTGATACCATCCCCCCTCCCTGATACCATCCATCCTCCATATCCTGCCTGTATCCCCCCCTTCCTGATACCATCCCCCCTCCCTGATACCATCCATCCTCCATATCCTGCCTGTATCCCCCCCTTCCTGATACCATCCCCCCTCCCTGATACCATCCATCCTCCATATCCTGCCTGTATCCCCCCCTTCCTGATACCATCCCCCCTCCCTGATACCATCCATCCTCCATATCCTGCCTGTATCTCCCCCTCCCTGATACCCTCCATATCCTGCCTGTATCCCCCCCCCCTCCCTGATACCATCCATCCTCCATATCATACCTGTATCCCCCCTCCCTGATACCATCCATCCTCCATATCCTGCCTGTATCTCCCCCCCCCCGCTACCCTCCCCCTTCCCTATCCCCCCTCCCTGATACCATCCATCCTCCATATCCTGCCTGTATCCCCCCTCCCTGATACCATCCATCCTCCATATCCTGCCTGTATCCCCCCTCCCTGATACCATCCATCCTCCATATTCTGCCTGTATCTCCCCCTCTCTGATACCCTCCATCCTCCATATCCTGCCTGTATCCCCCCTCCCTGATACCATCCATCCTCCATATCCTGCCTGTATCTCCCCCTCCCCTGATACCATCCATCCTCCATATCATACCTGTATCCATCCCTTCCTGATACTATCCATCCTCCATATCCTGCCTGTATCCCCACTCCAGGATACCATCCATCCTCCATATCCTGCCTGTATCTCCCCCTTCCCTGATACCATCCATCCTCCATATCATACCTGTATCCATCCCTTCCTGATACTATCCATCCTCCATATCCTGCCTGTATCCCCACTCCCTGATACCATCCATCCTCCATATCCTGCCTGTATCTCCCCTCCCGGATACCCTCCATCCTCCATATCGTGCCGGTATCTCCCCCTCCCTGATCCCCTCCATATCCTGCTTGTATCCCCCCCCCCTTCCTTATACCATCCATCCTCCATATCGTGCCGGTATCTCCCCCTCCCTGATCCCCTCCATATCCTGCTTGTATCCCCCCCCCCTTCCTTATACCATCCATCCTCCATATCGTGCCGGTATCTCCCCCTCCCTGATCCCCTCCATATCCTGCTTGTATCCCCCCCCCCTTCCTTATACCATCCATCCTCCATATCGTGCCGGTATCTCCCCCTCCCTGATCCCCTCCATATCCTGCTTGTATCCCCCCCCCCTTCCTTATACCATCCATCCTCCATATCGTGCCGGTATCTCCCCCTCCCTGATCCCCTCCATATCCTGCTTGTATCCCCCCCCCCTTCCTTATACCATCCATCCTCCATATCGTGCCGGTATCTCCCCCTCCCTGATCCCCTCCATATCCTGCTTGTATCCCCCCCCCCTTCCTTATACCATCCATCCTCCATATCGTGCCGGTATCTCCCCCTCCCTGATCCCCTCCATATCCTGCTTGTATCCCCCCCCCCTTCCTTATACCATCCATCCTCCATATCGTGCCGGTATCTCCCCCTCCCTGATCCCCTCCATATCCTGCTTGTATCCCCCCCCCCTTCCTTATACCATCCATCCTCCATATCGTGCCGGTATCTCCCCCTCCCTGATCCCCTCCATATCCTGCTTGTATCCCCCCCCCCTTCCTTATACCATCCATCCTCCATATCGTGCCGGTATCTCCCCCTCCCTGATCCCCTCCATATCCTGCTTGTATCCCCCCCCCCTTCCTTATACCATCCATCCTCCATATCGTGCCGGTATCTCCCCCTCCCTGATCCCCTCCATATCCTGCTTGTATCCCCCCCCCCTTCCTTATACCATCCATCCTCCATATCGTGCCGGTATCTCCCCCTCCCTGATCCCCTCCATATCCTGCTTGTATCCCCCCCCCCTTCCTTATACCATCCATCCTCCATATCGTGCCGGTATCTCCCCCTCCCTGATCCCCTCCATATCCTGCTTGTATCCCCCCCCCCTTCCTTATACCATCCATCCTCCATATCGTGCCGGTATCTCCCCCTCCCTGATCCCCTCCATATCCTGCTTGTATCCCCCCCCCCTTCCTTATACCATCCATCCTCCATATCGTGCCGGTATCTCCCCCTCCCTGATCCCCTCCATATCCTGCTTGTATCCCCCCCCCCTTCCTTATACCATCCATCCTCCATATCGTGCCGGTATCTCCCCCTCCCTGATCCCCTCCATATCCTGCTTGTATCCCCCCCCCCTTCCTTATACCATCCATCCTCCATATCGTGCCGGTATCTCCCCCTCCCTGATCCCCTCCATATCCTGCTTGTATCCCCCCCCCCTTCCTTATACCATCCATCCTCCATATCCTGCCTGTATCTCCCCCCTCCCTGATACCCTCCATCTTCCATATTCTGCCTGTATCTCCCCTCCCGGATACCCTCCATCCTCCATATCCTGCCTGTATCTTCCTCTCCCTATTACCCTCCATCTTCCATATCCTGCCTGTATCCCCCCTCCCCCATACATCCTCCATATCCTGCCTGTATATACCCCTCCCTGATACCATCCATCCTCCATATCCTGCCTGTATCTCCCCCCTCCCTGATACCCTCCATCTTCCATATTCTGCCTGTATCTCCCCTCCCGGATACCCTCCATCCTCCATATCCTGCCTGTATCTTCCTCTCCCTATTACCCTCCATCTTCCATATCCTGCCTGTATCCCCCCTCCCCTATGCATCCTCCATATCCTGCCTGTATCTCCCCCCTCCCTGATACCATCCATCCTCCATATCCTGCCTGTATCTTCCTCTCCCTGATACCCTCCATCCTCCATATCCTGCCTGTATATACCCCTCCCTGATACCATCCATCCTCCATATCCTGCCTGTATCTCCTCCCTCCCTGATACCCTCCATCTTCCATATCCTGCCTGTATCTCCCCCTCCCCGATACCCTCCATCTTCCATATCCTGCCTGTATCTCCCTGCTTCCTGATACCTCCCATCCTCTATATTCCACCTGTATCTCCCTCTATCTTATATCACCCCTTGTCTTTGCCATGCCTTCCATGTTTGTCCCAATAACTCTAATGCCCATCTAATATTTGCCCTTCTTGTGTTGCCTTTCCCCCAATGCATTTTGTATCCCCTGTTCTGTGCTTAGTGCGCTTACTCCTTACTCCTTAGTGTGCTTACTCCTCTGCCCGTGCCCACGTTGACCCGTGTAGCCATAATAAATATCTTGTGTCATTGTGCCAATGTCTCTAGTACAATTCTCTACTTAATGGAAACCTGTCATTCAGTTGTAGATGTTATTCTGTATCAGATCTTGGTCATGTTCGGCCAGGTCACATTGCATTTTTTAGCTGTAGCTTTTGTGTGACTGCATCCTACGAGTCCCTTAAGTGTCTGATCTGTGTCCTCCTTCCAGGGTCTAGCTGGACCGAGTGGCTTACCAGGCGGTAAAGGACCCCAGGGACCATCGGTATGTTATTTATTGTTATCTACTCTGAAAGGGCATACTGAACCACGGCTTAAAGCTGAATTCCAGAGAATAAAATAAAAGAGACTTGTGTATTCTGTCTTGAATCTTGTTGAGCTTTGTGTATTTCTTCCAGATCTGTGCAGGAATCCAGTGTGGCACTTCCTGTAATAAAGACCGGTCACTGCTGCTCTCTCTCCTTGTGCAGGTTGACTGGTCTTGTCTCCGCCCCCTCCTGTAATAAAGACCGGTCACTGCTGCTCTCTCTCCTTGTGCAGGGGGCTGGTTTTGTTTCTGCCCCCTCCTGTAGTTATTTTGCAGGCAGCCTGTAGTGGGTGGAGCCTGCTGGGCCCCTCCCACATCTCTGCTCCCTGCACAGGCTATGTACACAAAGGAATGTGTCGGACTGACCAGTTGACCCTTGAAGGAAATCTGCACACTATATATTTCCTTAAAAATGTAAAAGAAGCATTTAGTAAATTGGTATTATATCAATTCTTAATTTAAAGGGAAATATGTTATCAAATTAAATTGTAATATCAATACTGTGTCATAAGCGGCTATTCAGCTGGCAGGAGACTTGATTTAGAAGAAAAGCATGAAAGCACTCGCTTTAGTTATATGCTGCTTTTGACGCTTTAATATGACAGCACTAATATTGAATGCATTGTATGCTCTCTTTTGAAGGGTCCGCTTAGCTGTTGTTAGCAGTCATTATTAAATTGTTGTCTGATCTTTTTTTTCACAGGGACCTGCAGGTCAACCTGGCCTTCCTGGCCCCCCAGGCCCACCAGGCCCTCCGGTAAGCTGCTCTGATTGTGTGATTTTGTGTATGTTGCCATTGTAGAGGAATTTAATGTGTTATTTCCAGATTGCAGACTGTAATTAATACCATTTTGAAGTGTAGAGATATGCAGGCAACCAATGAGATTGCTCCATTTGGTTGAACGGTCTCTGGCTTTTCACATAAGTACGTAGCGATAGGATCCTGCAGCTTTCTCTCCTCTCATGAATTCTCTGATATTTTATCATAGGGTCTTCCAGGAGTTGTTCCCGACAGCAACGGAGATTTGCAGGTAAGTATTCCGATGCTCTGGCCTCATTAGGTTAGGCCATTTTAAGAACACGTGAAGAAGTATCAATAGATTAAAAGGCATTAACCATAGTCCTTTCTCTTCAATGCAGTGTCCGGCTGTTTGCCCACCTGGCCCACCCGGTCCCCCTGGCATGCCAGGATTTAAGGTAAGACTATCGTAGCCACCTAAGATCTGTGCAGGAATCCAGTGTGGCACTTCCTGTAATAAAGACCGGTCACTGCTGCTCTCTCTCCTTGTGCAGGTTGACTGGTCTTGTCTCCGCCCCCTCCTGTAATAAAGACCGGTCACTGCTGCTCTCTCTCCTTGTGCAGGGGGCTGGTTTTGTTTCTGCCCCCTCCTGTAGTTATTTTGCAGGCAGCCTGTAGTGGGTGGAGCCTGCTGGGCCCCTCCCACATCTCTGCTCCCTGCACAGGCTATGTACACAAAGGAATGTGTCGGACTGACCAGTTGACCCTTGAAGGAAATCTGCACACTATATATTTCCTTAAAAATGTAAAAGAAGCATTTAGTAAATTGGTATTATATCAATTCTTAATTTAAAGGGAAATATGTTATCAAATTAAATTGTAATATCAATACTGTGTCATAAGCGGCTATTCAGCTGGCAGGAGACTTGATTTAGAAGAAAAGCATGAAAGCACTCGCTTTAGTTATATGCTGCTTTTGACGCTTTAATATGACAGCACTAATATTGAATGCATTGTATGCTCTCTTTTGAAGGGTCCGCTTAGCTGTTGTTAGCAGTCATTATTAAATTGTTGTCTGATCTTTTTTTTCACAGGGACCTGCAGGTCAACCTGGCCTTCCTGGCCCCCCAGGCCCACCAGGCCCTCCGGTAAGCTGCTCTGATTGTGTGATTTTGTGTATGTTGCCATTGTAGAGGAATTTAATGTGTTATTTCCAGATTGCAGACTGTAATTAATACCATTTTGAAGTGTAGAGATATGCAGGCAACCAATGAGATTGCTCCATTTGGTTGAACGGTCTCTGGCTTTTCACATAAGTACGTAGCGATAGGATCCTGCAGCTTTCTCTCCTCTCATGAATTCTCTGATATTTTATCATAGGGTCTTCCAGGAGTTGTTCCCGACAGCAACGGAGATTTGCAGGTAAGTATTCCGATGCTCTGGCCTCATTAGGTTAGGCCATTTTAAGAACACGTGAAGAAGTATCAATAGATTAAAAGGCATTAACCATAGTCCTTTCTCTTCAATGCAGTGTCCGGCTGTTTGCCCACCTGGCCCACCCGGTCCCCCTGGCATGCCAGGATTTAAGGTAAGACTATCGTAGCCACCTGTGATCATGGATCTGAAATTGGTTTGGTATATCATTAAGGTGCTGGTCCAGTGTTCTGCCCGTTTCAGACCAGTAAGATAGGGGAAGGGGGCACTGCCTTTTGTGTGCATAGGAATCTATATAATCTGCGTAACAGTATGTGATGTACATTTCTGGAAAAAATACATATATATTGATCTTGATCAGATCTTGCTCTTTATGAGTTTGCTATGAAAACTAGAGAGAGCTATGTTTAAGAATGGTGGTGGTCTCTGTAGTCAGCTTGCCCTCTAGGATGGGGAGCCAGAGAGCTCTTTATAGGGGAGCTATGATTAAAAATCATCACATGTTACTTAGCCTAGGCAAAGATCTCATTGTTACTTAGCCTATGCAAAGATCTCATTGTTACTTAGCCTAGGCAAAGACATCCCCGCATTGTGGGCGTTTGCCATCATTACACACTGTAGCCTATTGTTTGCAGTCAGACATACCTTTTCAATGAGATAAGATAATCTACAGGAAGCAGAGCTTGCTTATATAATGAATAAATATGACTTACTTATTCAGCATATCTTCCTGAAAACAATAAAAGGGTCATGGGTCCTCTTTAATGATTTTCTGTTTGCTTGGCCATCTCACATTCTTACACCCTCCTGTAGCTGTGGTTGCAATATGGTGGTCGTTGGGACATCTAGCTCCAGTAGAGCCATCAAACCATCAGTGGTGAGTTGTGGCTTTGAGATGAATTGGGATTTGGAACCCCAGTAGGACCATTAGCTTTGCCTTAAAAATGGTAGCCATTTGTGGTTCTGAGCTACGTTGGGCCTGGTGTCTCCAGAAGAAAAACATGTATTGTTGCTTCAATATGGTGGCCACATGTGAATCCTGGATATATCATCACTCATCTTTGTAGTATGCTAGTCACTTCTTGGGTACTTTGGCTTTTGTTTGATCACTTATTTAGCTCCAACAGCTGTTGGTCACTTTGTCTACCAGAGTTGGTAATTCCTTTAATGTGCTGGACACTCGTAGATTTGATGTATTGAGTTGATTTTGTTGATGACTTTGGGTCTGTTTAACACTAATATTTGGACTTTGATGTTCTTTTGTCTTTACAATATGGCTGAGATGGTTCCTTGTGCACAATGAGCTTAGGCCTGTGATGAGCTGAAGCTTTTTCACCAACAATTCTTTCCTCACCTTTTTTTGCCTTAGTGTCGTTGTCATTGTAAGTTATGTTGCTGTTGTGTTCTTTGACTTCTATTTCATTTATGTTTGCACATATCCTGCAATGAACTATCACTGTCGTGTACAGTTTTTGTATTCCACCATAGCTGCCCATTTGCAGAGCCTAGGTCACAACCCCACTAGCATAATTCAGCACTTCCATAGTCTTTCCCATGCCCCCAAACAATGGTTTTAAAGAGTTTATCACACTTGAGGACCGCACACAGGCGGGCTCTGGGAGGACATGAAAGGATTATGGGTAGCAGATGAAGACACAATGAAATCACGATGGCTTCCAAAAACATCTGTACAAAAGATAAAGTCCCATTGCTATTATCTCCATTATCAGTCAATATGAATACCTGACAAATACCATGCCACAGAATCAAGCCTTGAATTTCCAGCTGGGAAAAAAAAGTTGGGCACCACCCACATACACACACTCCATTTTACTGTATCGTTATAAAATGTTTTTACCTTTATAGAGATTTGTAGAGCTTTGTAAAAGAGACACTGTTGCTTTATTTATTTTATTCACCATTAATTAGTAAATATATAATAACAATTAGTATTAAAAATATAATAACACATTTAAAATGTATGTAGAGCCAAAGGAAATCTCACCACTCCAATTCCTCAGCCACCACCAGGACTCCCCAGGTGCTGGTCCAATAGGTGCGTCTCCAATGCTGCAGACTTTATTGAAATTCACAGCAAATCCAGTAAAACAGTGAACTAAAGTGTATAAAGCAACAAATACCAACACCGCAAACCCCCAACCAGCTACAACCCCTCACATGTTTCACCCATAGGCTTATTCATAGAGGTTTTTAAAACAGTAATTTATTACAATTTACCATATTAAAGTGGACCTGTGGTGCAAGTTCAACCTTACAAAAATCCCATCCGTGAGTAATGAGTAATTAAAGGTATAGATAGGTCAGAAATAACTTGAATTCTGCTTCCTGCCAGTGCTAAACATGTGACCAAATGCCAGAGCATCGGTCATGTGATCTCATGTGCTCAAAGTTGCAAGGTTTTGCCCAAAAATCATTCTACATTCCCTTTGGGTAAGATCACATGACCAAAGCTTTCTGTTTGGCCATGTGGCTGTGATGACTCCATTTTTAAAAAAACAGTCTTGTTCTTCGGATTAAATCTCCTTATTGGCTTAGGAGCCTATCAATTGTGCTGCAAGCAGAAACACTGACAAGGAACATGCTCACAGGAGGAGAGAATATAGTGAACAGATGGGTGACCTAATCGGTCTCTCTTTACTCCTTCACTGTCCAATCAGAAGGCTGGGGGTGGGGAGAGGACACCACTCTCTCCCTTCTGTAGTCTATAACTGTAACAGAAACAGTGGTGTCATCCATTTTGATGTGCTGTCTGTTGGGGCTGTGTAAATCTAAGGACTTGATGGACAGAAATATAAATTCCATACAAAAACAGTCCCCTTATATGTATTTAATTTGTGTATTTAGCAGAGTTCAGCTTCAACAAACTTCTGCTGCCACGTTTCTCTTATGCAATTAAATATAAATATTTGTAGATTAGCCACTAGAGGGAGCTCTCACACATTCAGTACACTTACTCTGTCTCTCTCTCTCTCAACTGCTGAGATGAAATATCAGCCACACGTGGAGTGCATTATTTTAGATGGATAGGCCAACGTTTAGACTTGTGAGAAGTAAAGCATGACCACTGTATAGCACTGCCAAGCAGGAAGCCAAGGCTGCTTATGTAATAAATAACAATGGCTGCTTCCATGTTCCTATATGATACATACTATACATAGAAGGAGCTGATCTCTTATACATGCTTATATTGACTGTACATTCCCTTTAGGAATGACTTACTGCCCACCTCTATGTCTGTCTGTATTCTCCATGGAGAAAGGAGAACAGTGCACTGAGCATGCTCTCCACCAATCACAGGCTACGATGGAGAGATTGTGGTAGTGCAGTGATTCCAGCACAGTCTGGGAAATCTCCAACCACCAATCCCAGTGGTAGATGTGCCTGTATGTGGCCCGTCTAGTCAATTACATTATGTATTTTTGTGAATAGCCTTAAATGTCTTCCATTTATGTGGTCTGATCACTAATTCTCCTCTTTTCTTTTATTTACAGGGTCACACAGGGCACAAAGGAGATATAGGGGAGTCTGGAAAGGATGGACAGAAGGTAAAATTGGGGGTGACCTGTCTATATAGGAAGCCTGAGCGATCTATACTCTTATTCTACATACAGAATAAACAGACAGCTATCACGTACCTGGTAGGGAGGCCGAAGTGAGAGGAGGCTTCTCTTGCACCTCGTGTCTTGTGACCTTTGAGGTTGAGGACAAAGGCCAGGCAGACAGGGAGAGGCACGAGTCCTTTAGGAAAGTCCAGTAATCGAGGTCACAACAAGCCGGGGTCAAAAGCCATGAAATCCAATTCAGTAGAAGTAGGGAGCAGGCCGAAGAATATCCAAAACAGTCCGAGGTCAAAAGGCAGGCAGCAAGCAAGGATGGTCGTTTACACAGGAACAGGTCAAATCCAGGGGAATCAGGTATATACAGGAGAAGGCTAAACGGGAGACAAGGAACACGATCAAGCTGACAAGACAAACCAGCAACTAGTGGGCGTTTGAGCTGGGCTTAAATAGGGCAGTGAGTTCATCTATGATGTAACTTCCTGTGCGCCTCTTGGCGCGTATTTGTTCCCGGCTGCGCCTGCGCGTGTTTGTTCTCCGCTGCGCATGCGCAGAGCGGGAGTTTCGCTGACAACAGCTTGGTGGTCTCATACATTGGTCTTCCATGAATGCTTTTTGGTGACTCTGCCCCCCACTGTATAAGACTGGATGGGCAAAGGATGGACAGAAGGTAAAGTTGGGCTTGATCTGTCTATAGGAAGCCTGAGAGATCTACACTCTTATTCTACATACAGAATAAACAGACAGCTTGGTGGGCCCATACATTGGTCTTCCATGAGTTCCTTTAGGGACTCTGCCCACCACTGTATACGACTGGATGGGCAAAGGATGGACAGAAGGTAAAATTGGGAGTGATCTGTCTATAGGAAGCCTTAGAGATCTAAACTCTTATTCTACATACAGGGTAAACAGACAGCAGATGGACTGCCAATGTGGCATGCATGACCTCATTGCTGATGGCACAGATCTGGCCCAGCTGGAACTTTTTCAGCCGATAGTCTACTGATCCCCAAAATGGGAAGTGTCTGATATAGTCTTATAGAGTGGTGAGCAGAGCCACCAAAAGGCAGTCATGCAAGACCAGTTTATGGGCCCTCCAATTCATTATGGGCCATGTAAACCCTTATTCACTTTGTGGCAAATGACAGCTAGGTAAGAGTGAGCCATGTCCATATCACAAAGGAAGGGGTCCACATTCTTATTATTGTACATGATTTATATTGAGCAAACAGGAAGACAGCACAGTTCCTATTTAAATCAAGACAAGGGGATTAGGAGGACCCTATTTGTGAGTGCTTACAAGACAGATTGTGCTATGAAGTTCCAGAGCATAGCAGAGACTCTCGAAAATCCTGAAGGTGAGCATAGGAGAAAGGGAGGAGGGAGCTAGACAGCAGGAGGTCTTGGGAGGGGCAGAGTGGACATTTTGGGTGATATTTTGAGATAACGTTGCTGGGGGCAGAGTTGTGGATGGCTTTGTATGTGGTTAGGATTTAGAATTGTATCTGTCGGGGGTATTGGAAGTCAGTAAAGGGATTGGCAGAAGAAGGGGTTGCCAATGAATGGTTAATAAGGTGGATGAGTCTGGCGTCAATATTCATTGTAGAACGAAGGAGGGATAGTCTGTGTAAAAGAAGGCCAACAAGTGTGAAGTTTCAATAGTCACCTGATCTACATCTAGTATAAATGGACACTTTAGGCCCAAAGGCACAGTATGCAGAAATGACATGGTCACCCCTGGCCCATCATACTTGCCTGTGTTGGGCAGATCATGTGCTCTTGGTTGAGTCTAATCTGTCATTGCCTTTTGTTTGTGACTCTCTGTAGACGCCATTATCTAATTAACGCTAACGATTCAGCCTGGATTGCTGGGGGAAAGTTGTTTATTTTTGCAGTTGTAGCTGCATTCCATTCCAGCATTAAGCTGATGTGTCACATGTTGTCCAGATGCTTTAACTGAGTCTTCTTCTCTACAGGGAGACCCAGGACCACCGGGACCAGCAGGAATCCCTGGCAGTGTGGGCTTACAGGTAAACCAATCCACTGTTTTCCTTTCAGAACCCTTTATGAGACCCGGCCGTATACAAGTTTGGCATCACTTTGTTGGCGGGCTCTGACCCCCCTTGGGTTCTCAATGGTATCATGTGATTATGAAAGAGAACTAGAACCAATGTTATGTATTTTCTAAAGACTGAATGATATATGTAACAAAATGGAGTACCCGAGGTCTCTATGATTTAATGTACTGCAGGGTTGCCAAAGTGCAAACATTGGGCAGTCAGTACAGGGCTTGCAGGCAAACCGGCAGAACCTGCATGTGACCTAAGCAAAAGAGAGACTTGTGGTTGCTCTATGCCCCCAGCTGAGATCCCATCATCAACTCTGTTGCTGCTTTCTCCGCATATACAGCAATAGTCATGCTTTGGTAAAGTACAGAATGAATGGCTGCCCCTTTATTCATGACACTTCATAGTGTAGATACAGCACCGAGTCCCATACAGATAGCTCTGAATATATGTTATACAAGTTACTAAACTGTTGTTTCTTTTTCCAGGGCCCAAGAGGTGGAAGGGGCTTAGTCGGACCCCAGGGACCAGGAGGAGACAGGGTGAGTGCTCATTCACGGTACATTTCTGCTGCCGCATGTTGACGTTCAACCTGTATCACACTTTTAAAGGACTTCGTAAGAGTCCTACATGTGTAAGGCAGCAAATGTTGGCTGTCTAATCTCATGGTGACCAGGATGCGTGGCACATTACCTAGCCATTCGCCAGAACCTATTGATGTCCATACCAATACAGAATGCTCGGCTGATATGGAAGTTCAGCCAAGGTGGAGTTATTCTTTAAAGCGACCTGTGAATCTCTTCATTGTTTTGTTAGCCTATCTATGGCCAAGGGACTTTCATGTAATAATCATCTATCTCTTCTTTTTAGGGAGACACCGGATTTAGGGGACCCTCCGGCGCTCCAGGACCACCTGGGAAAGCTGTACGTATAAACTTGAGGCATGTTTCCTCTCTTATAACTGAGTATTCACTTGATGAGAAGTGTCTCTGAGCCATCATGGTGTTGTTATTATAGGAGACAATGCTCCCAAAAAGGTTGGTGCAGGGATAATACATACACATACACACTGATAACCACACAACCAATACAAACTCAACCAGATCTGGGGGTAACTGGATCATGCATATGTACAATGGCCTTGTTGACCTGGTCCAGATGCAAGAACGACATGAAGGTGTATCTAGAGCTTCAGAATGTCAATTGGGGATCCCTAAAATGTGCGTAAATGGGCAAACCATTGTGCAAAACCAGAGCTATATTGACCCTTGGGAACACACAATGACACATTCCTTTAAGAAGGATAAAGGGTCACAGGATCAGAATGTCAATTGGGGAACCCTAACATTTGCGTAAATAGGCAAACCATTGTGCAAAACCAGAGCTATATCGACCCTTTTTACCCAGCTGGGAACACACAATGACACATCCCTTTAAGAAGGTTGAAGGGCCACAGTGACGGCCCTTCACAAGGTCCATCATTTCATATTTTATACATTTATTTGGTTGCAGCAAGTTAACATTACCTGCCATGTGTGGCACTTTACAGTCAGCCTGAGATTCCCACCAGTCACATACGCCTGTAACGAGGACCTGTCATCCCTCTATGATCTCCTACTGGTTGATATTGTAAGAGAGACCGTAACCAGCAGGTAGAATCAGGCCAGGGACATCGACCCACCTAGACAATATGTCCACTATATCAAAGGACTGGGAAACCTCCTCCAAGACTCCTCGTAGAAGGGTCCACCTTAGGTTATATCTTCAACAATTTGTTTTATTATTATATAATTGCCCAGCCTATCACTGAGGGAAGTCAGCTGGCTAGCACTCCCATTGCATTGACAAGGCATGATACAGAAATGTAAGATTAGAGACTACAACCATTTTGGATTGGGGGTGGTGGGCATCACCCATCAGTTTTTGGACACCTCCAAGGGATTGTGGAGGAGCTGCATTTGTGTTCTCAGCTCCACCCACCTCAATGGTGTTCTCTCCCTGTTGGATTTTTCTTTAAAGTGCATGTAAACCCAAAATGTATTTTTTGTGGTACGGTGGGCATCATGCATCACTGCACTGTATACAGCTTTTGTAAGCAAATCAGCTTTTTGTGAATCTGTTGCATTGGTTTGTTACACAACTTTCTTACCTGGAGATACTGCCAGTAACATCACTTCCTGTTTCAGGGTGACAATGCATCCTACTCATACACACTGATAAACACACACAACCAATACAAACCCAACCAGATCTGGGAGTACCTGGATCATGCCGATGTACAATGGTCTTGTTGACCCTGCCTTGCAATTAGCAGAATTGTCAGCCTGCCGTGCACGCTCATTCAGTTGGCCATTGGGCTGCCTATTGAGGCTATCAGATAAGCAGACCATTGGCCAGCTGAAGCAAGCACATATGGTAGACCGACAACACTGCTTCTTAATTGTGAGGTGGTGGCTTAATGTTGTCAGCGTACAACAGGAAGTGCTGTTATTCATAGGAAATTTTACAACAAATACAAAAAATAAGATTTGCTTAAAGCCGAACGGGGGAGCAGATGTCACCAGGATACGATGGCATAGACAACAATGACATCAGTTCTAACCTTCCCCCCAATCTACTAATATGTGTCTATGTCTTTTGTCAGTGTCCCTGTTGGAGAGATTGCCTATCACTTCCTGTTCTAACAGGAAGTAAGGGGAAATCTCCCTGTAAGGTACACAGATTGGCAATAAAATCCTGACAGAGGCTCCATCCTTTGCCAGTCCAACTATAGAATGTAAAAGTGTATTGGCCATTATGTAGGAGCAGTGAGCAATGGCGCAGGTCATCACTTTATTTCTCTGTTGTTTCAGGGGGATCAAGGTGTGAGGGGGCCCCAGGGATACCAAGGGCCAAAGGGAGACACGGTAAGTGTCTAATATAACCCAATTCTGTTTATGTGATGTAAAGAAATCCATACATGTCATAAGTTTGTTGAATAAACCTTTATTGCTGTTTTATTTGTATTATACAGAGAGAGAGACATTCACCAACACATGTCTGTGAATATGTCTGAGCTGAATTATTATTTTTTATGTTGCTTGTGCTTTAGGGCAAACCAGGACCTAAAGGGATGCCTGGAGGTCTGGGCCCTATAGGAGAACCGGTAAGAGGTCTTCCCTTTACAAAAAAAAAGCTTTAGAGAAGTATATAAGTATTGTATAATCAGTGTATTACCTCACCTGATCATGGAAGAAAGAGAAACATCATATTAGGCTCCGCCCCAGAGGAGCTCACAGTCTGCAACAGCTACACATAGACAAATCCTCTATGGCCAGATTGGTCAGATCTTACTCTTGCTTGTTTATGCACAAAAACTAGCCAGAGGTAGGACATCCAATGTGGGATAATGGCCTCCAGCTATAGCAGAACTCCAGGCAGACATAAAAGACACAAATTAAGCTATTATTTATTATTAAATACATATTTTGTAATGCAATCAGTGTAAGTGCTTTAATTCATCTTAGTATCGACCGCTGCAATCCATTGTACAGCAGACCTTATACTGGAATAAGGAGAAGCAGCACAAGGAGCCAATCAGTGGCACTGCAGTGGCAACAAGGAACGTGCTGATAGGAGTGTCAAAGAGATGAGCTCATCGGTCTGCTGCTCCTCATTTCACTGTCCAGTCACAGGGAGGGAGGAGACCTGAGAGTGTTACTGTACTGCAGCAAGGAAAAAACAGGTGTCCTACCCTGCCAGACAGGGCTGGGCTGTAGGGCAGAGCTATGTACATCTCAGGAGTTGATGGACAGAAATACAAACCTTTTGGCAGGTAAAACAGGTGCCATATGGGTAGTTCATTTGTGTGCATAGCTGTTTGCTTGGCCATCTGTAGATCAGACAAGGGAAATGATTGCTGAATGACTGCTGTGACAGAGTCTCAGCCCCAGTACTTTGCTTTCAATTAGACACACCTAGCTGGCATGCATGCAGTGAGAGAGAAGCACAACCAATGTGCATTACTACTAAGCAGGAAGCAGAGCTTGCCTATGTAATAAACCAATACGTGGTTCAGAAGTCATTCTTTTTATAACTTGTCTCCTCACAGGGAATGCTTGGAAAGGATGGACGAGATGGGACCTCTGGCCTGGACGGTGCGAAGGTTTGTACTGATTCAGAGGAAGTGATATGGTGTTTGTTCAAATAGACCAATACGTGAGAGTAAAGAAGAACCGACATCTGTAGATTTTATGCCCCTGAGATGGATTTATAATTACAACCCTCCAAGGTCAGCTTGTGCTGCCCAACTCCTACCCTAGTCATCTGCTCAGTAGAGCTCTGGGCAGCAAAATATTGCATATCTGATATGGTTTGTCAGTAGCATTTGTCTTTATGAAATATCAGATTCACATCATAAACCTGCTAACTTGTTTCAGCCACACATGGCCTTGGTTATAGCTATGACTAAGTCCATGTGTGGCTGAAACGCATTACTGTACTGGGTTTATGATGTGAACTGTTCATCTGATGTTGAATTAAGGATCAGAACACGAAGCTGTGTCCTGGAACCTGTGTTATAAACATTTCTAAATGTTCCCTATAACAGCAATTCTTCACTTTTTGAGTTCAGTTCCACTTTAAGCAGTTAGAGTAATATATTTACCTTCAGTAAAACATGTGCAAACAGTTGTGAATGGCCAAAAAAATCGTTCCAGCTCAATTGTTTCCCTGGGCAGGTGTAGATGGGATGCATCAGGGGAAGTGTGCTAAAACCATTATAATGGGCTGTTACTGAATCTCTGCATGAACAATAGACCATTTCTTTTTTGTTGTGTGTTTCAGGGTGATCAAGGACGGCCAGGAGTTCCTGGAGAGAAGGGACCAAATGGGCTACCTGTAAGTATCAGAATGTCCTGTATCCATTCATTCACTAGAGGCCAGTGACATCCCTGAGATTGCAGCCTATCCGTTCACTAGAGACCGGTGACATCACTGAGCAGAGGCGGCTCTAGACTTTGTGAGGCCTTAGGCGAAACTCAAATGTGAGGCCCCCACCTACACCCATCATGAAAATGGGACACGGGTGGCGTGGGTTAAACTAGCTTTGCTGTAGATCGAGCGAGTTAGGCAGCCGCGAGGCCCTTATGCATGCGAGGCCTAAGGCGGCCGCCTAACTCACCTAATTAGAGAGCTGCCTCTGTCGCTGAGCATGCAGCCTATCCAATCACTAGAGACTGGTGACATCACTGAGCAGAGGCGGCTCTAGACTTTGTGAGGCCTTAGGCGAAACTCAAATGTGAGGCCCCCACCTACACCCATCATGAAAATGGGACACGGGTGGCGTGGGTTAAACTAGCTTTGCTGTAGATCGAGCGAGTTAGGCAGCCGCGAGGCCCTTATGCATGCGAGGCCTAAGGCGGCCGCCTAACTCACCTAATTAGAGAGCTGCCTCTGTCGCTGAGCATGCAGCCTATCCAATCACTAGAGACTGGTGACATCACTGAGCATGCAGCCTATCCAATCACTAGAGACTGGTGACATCACTGAGCATGCAGCCTATCCAATCACTAGAGACTGGTGACATCACTGAGCATGCAGCCTATCCAATCACTAGAGACTGGTGACATCACTGAGCATGCAGCCTATCCAATCACTAGAGACTGGTGACATCACTGAGCATGCAGCCTATCCAATCACTAGAGACTGGTGACATCACTGAGAATGTAGCCTATCCATTCACTAGAGACCGGTGACATCACTGAGCAGAGGCGGCTCTAGACTTTTTGAGGCCTTAGGCGAAACTCAAATGTGAGGCCCCCACCTACACCCATCATGAAAATGGGACACGGGTGGCGTGGGTTAAACTAGCTTTGCTGTAGATCGAGCGAGTTAGGCAGCCGCGAGGCCCTTATGCATGCGAGGCCTAAGGCGGCCGCCTAACTCACCTAATTAGAGAGCTGCCTCTGTCGCTGAGCATGCAGCCTATCCAATCACTAGAGACTGGTGACATCACTGAGGATGCAGCCTATCTAATCACTAGAGACCGGTGACATCACTGAGGATGCAGCCTATCCAATCACTGTGCAATGTAAAAACAATGAAAATGGATTGCTTGAAGGATATGTTTTCCCATATTAAGTGTATTTCTCTTTTATCAGGGGCTTGGGGGTAAAGCTGGAACAAAGGGAGAAAAAGGTCAGCTGGTAAGTTAATTGGGCATTGGTCCCACACAACAGACCCGAAAATCTCATGTGCCCTTTCACGATTCAGGTTTTTTAATATAATGAACACTTTTTTCCCCTTTCAGGGCAGCAATGGAGAGCTGGGAGAAGCTGGACCCTCTGGAGAGCCAGGTATTCCCGTATGTATCCCACAACACCCAAAAGGGGTGGAGCAAGAGGTGTTTGGTTAAAGGTGGAAAACTCCTTTAAGCTGTATGTACTGAGATCACAAAGTTTTCTCTGGGGTATCCAATCCCTCTTTTCAGAGAGTTTAGCAGCAGAAAAACGGTACTGATAATGATGTTATCTCTTACACCCTAATGATAAAATCAGTATATCTTCTCTGCTATGTATAGGGAGGCCCATGTTGGGAAATGGTGACTTTCTACTTTAGGTCTTCTGCTAATAATATTGATAGTTTCCTGATAATATTTGGTCCTTTGTCTCCCCGCCCTTAGAATTTCCCAAGACCATATACATCAGACGGTAGCAACACTCTCATATTGTTTGAAAACATCATGGTGTAAGCTGGAATTTCCCTTCAACAAGTCATTGACACATCATAAAAAGTAACCCTGCCCAACACTGATCTGGTACAGGGCCGGCCTTAGGCCTTTAGGCGCCCTGTGCGAGAAAGCTTTACAGCGCCCCTCGGTGACCACACCCCTCAGTGGCCACACCCTTTAGTGGCCACACCCCCAGTAACCACACCCATTTATCACCCATATTTTTGGTAAAATATAAAAAGTCGGGGTCACGTCGAGTAAATAGACACCAAACATGTCATGCTTTAAAATTGCGCGCACCCGCAAAATCGCAAAAAAAGGTAGTTATAGGCTGGCATCATCATTCCAAATCGGCTATAAAGTTCTTTTATCTCCTGGTGACCATGGAAGGAAGGTTTTCCCACATGTTCATGGCTACAACCTCCAGCATGTCCATTGTCATCTCATTCAGGCCAAGCAAGGTCACCCATCCTCATTGGAGGTCTGATCTTTGATTGGCCTGAGGCTGCTTGAAAGAAGGACATCAGTAGTGAGGAGGTTCGATTGAGCTTCTTCCTAACAGACTCCCAGGCAGATAGAAACAGCCAGCTGGTACTTTATCTTATTGGGAACCATCCAAACATAGAATTCAGTTTCAGGTAAATCCTCAATGATAAAAATAAATCAGGGTTTCCCAAAGTTAGTTGGTGTGGAACTGGTGGTATTCACCTTCACAATAGGTCAGTGGCAATCACCGTACTACATTCAGGGGGCCTCAAGTGCGGCCCATGACAACAAAAGGTTGCACATAATATTCATTGTATGTAATGCAACCAAAAAGTGTAAGAGACTTTAGAATTGCTACCGATGTTCAGAGACTGTGGAGTTACTAAAGGGCCGTATGTGGCCCTAAGGGTGCAGGTTGAGCACCAGGACTCTAGGTGGTGCACAGCAAGATTTAGAAATGTATTTATGGTAACTTTTTGGTAGAACATCCGCTCTTGACTATCAGCCCACACTGGTGCCATGCTACCACTGCAGGTTTCCTCAGCCAATTCGATGTTTCTTCTACTGTCATGAGGGCATGTTTGGCGAGAGCAGTGTACCAATTGGGAATGGGCAGAGCAGAACATTGATATGGGAAAGAAGTAAATGCATGCCAGGAGTCCTCAGAGAGCTGGGACAGAAGAACTATGTTGACGACTTCCTGGCCAAGACTCTGCAGTTAGGGTCATATTTAGACACTTTTCTGCCCTAGGTACCCCCAATGATGATTCAATTTTGTAACTCCCCACTTGTGTCATGTGACTATTCCTAATGCTGAAATGTGCTAGGGGAAGCTTGATGTCTCATTTATTTTAATGGTAGATATCAATAAACAAGAGAAAGGTTCCTAATACTTCTGACTCCCTTCAACATCAAATGATTTCCCCCGAGAGTTCATTTTTTAAAATTTAACAAGACATTTGGTGTCCAAGAGTGGGAAACAAATGAGAAAGTAGCAGCTGGTATATTTCAAAGCTTGGTGCAGCCCAGGGTATTTTTGCTCCATAGGCACTGGCACACGACTGCCATAATGGTTTATCCAGCCCTGTCTATAGTCACAGCCTGTATAGATAAATCAGTATTGTGGAGGTGTAGGCACGTGGTACGCATGGCAATAACAGCACACAGCAAAGGTCCTGATAGATGCTAGGCAGCTGCTAGTATAAACTACATCAGATGTTACAGGAAAGCAACACCTTACAGCCCTTTATCATGTATTGGCATCAGAATAGGTTGGCAGGACAGTTAGGTGTCTGTATGTCACGCCATGTCAGAGTGCACTTGTTGCATCATTTAAGTGTATATTGTTAAATCTGTGTGTCTAAAGCATGAGGTTTACTTCTTCTTCCAGGGTGAAGCCGGCCCCCCAGGAGAGAGAGGAGAAGCCGGCCCCAGAGGAGTGGCTGTAAGTAGAAAGCTGAACAGAAACATCTATTGAAACACATTGAGCCTTCTTCTTAAGAATATCTGAAAGGTCTGTCCATGAAACACAATCAAATTCTCCCATTCATGTTTCTGATTGTAGTTACATTCATAAGCACCATTCCCAAACTGAAACAAGACCCCACCTCAACACCGCTCCGAATGACTGCTATCCATTATATAAAAGCCTGTTAACCCTTCTAAGACACGTGGTGACCCTGCCCATGTTCTGGTAAAGCTCAGGCACCTTAGCCCAGAAGCGTCATGGTAAATTTTGTCCTAAAGGCAACTATAGCTTACATGGGCCACATACTGTTCAGTTGATGACAGTGGACAGCCGTGTCCCAAAGCTTATCAAGCTTGTTGATTACGCAGCTATCCATACAGGCTCATTGACCCAGAGAACGAATGCTTAACCAGCCTTCTTGGCCAGCTAGAGCCCTCCATGAAATATTGACTTTTTGTTTTTTCTCGCCGCAGGGTGGAATTGGATTACAAGGACCCATTGGAGTTGCCGGAGTGAGAGGCTTCCAGGTACATTTTTATTTGCTTTGTGATATGTATTAGCATGAAAAGCCTTTATGGAAATCCATTTTAAGTGTCCTTTTTGTTCTTTCATGTTGCCAGCATAGGGATATGTTCAGTTTTACCTTTACTTCCTTTTTAGGGTCCAAAAGGCAACATTGGTGACCCTGGCTTACCAGGACCTACTGGCATCCGTGGTGGATTTGGTGAGCGGGTAAGAGATGGATATTTATCAGTACGAGAGAATATAATATACTTTGTGGCAGCACAGTGAAAATGGTATAGTAAACATTAAGCACAGAGGAAATGGTGACTTGGTAACAATATCGAAGCAAGTGACTACCAGAACCCCAGCTGACGGTGGACTATTCTTCCAGACAGAATTAGGCAACGTAGGGTAGATTGTTGAGGGGTAGAAGAAAAAGTTGTAAACTATGTAACAAGTTACAATATATTGGTAATGGCGAAAGTGAGATGGATTGGTCATACAAGTCTATCCTGGCCAAGTGATTCTTCCTTTGAGCAGGCCCGTCCACCAGCCATTGGCTGGATCAGAAGAACATGTTCTAATGTTTGTAGGCTGTATTCCTCCTTATGTCCAGTTGCACCCGTAGAAATGTGAATGATGAATCTCTAGATGTCTAGGGAACTTTGCTAACGGATGCCAACCAGCCATCCAGAAATAACACCATTAAGACTCAGCAGTCTTTGTTTATCACACTGTCAGATGTACTAAACGTTCTCCCCATACACCGCACAGGGGCCTCTAATCCATCGTTAGCCTCCCCAATTAGACAACAATTAGTGCTGGTGCTCAGGACAGAAAAACAGGAACACCTGCTAGACAGGAATGTGCTACATGTTGTGTGTATGCAAGGTCATAACCTTAACCCAATCTTCTCTTCTCTGGCAGGGTCCAGTAGGAGCTTCGGGACCCAAAGGAAGCGAGGTGAGGGCATGAGGCTTTGAAAGGCTTGAGACAATATGACCGCTGGTTTACTTCATGTACATTGAATTGCCTTTATTTCTTTATTTTGGGTGTATTTTAGGAAGGGCACACAAACAATGCAAATGCCAAATTCTCATATTATACAAACACAGTATAAAGTGAATGATATACTACAAAGGAGAAGGATGGGCTCCATAGACATACCCTCTTTATATGAATACATGAACGTTTTAGTATATTTTGGAAGTAAGAGATTAACAGAATCAGGGAGATACAAATTTAGCACCCAAACAGGTTCCATTGCATGAAAAATAATTAGTTATTATAAAAATTAACAAATGTTATTATTACATAGTTACATAGTTACATAAATATTCAAACTTCAAATAGATATTAAAAACATATATACAGCAGTTGTTTGAGGCCGTAATGTGTCACTAAACTACGGCATGCATTGTATATCTGATATATCTCTATGTAGAATGTTAATATTTTGCCATTTTAAAATTAGCTCCTTTGCCTATAATTTTTGTGTGCAATGGATCGCTCTTGGGTGCTCTATTCAAAGCCCCCTCTTTCTTCTCTACAGTTATAACATATTTAGGGATGAGAGAACTTTAAATTGGTTTAGATACATTAACCTCACTTTTTTTTTTGGTTTATTAAGGAACTAAGATATATAATTTAGAGCTCAGCTCTTGTATGCCTAAAAGATGCACTAAGCCAAACACCTGCAGGGAATGCAAGCCAATGGAAGAGCATTTTCTTGTTCATTTCTTACCTGCTAAACCTGTTCAACACCTTGAAAACTGGAATGTGTATTGGAAAAATGGCTGCTTCCATTGGAAGTTTAGCTATAACGTTAAGCCTTGGAGCCTTGGTATATGCAAGCTACCATGGTTCCTTCAAAGAGATTAGGCCATGGAAGAGTCACTTCTAGAGACACTTAGGTGCCATATTACTATAGGTGTCACTTATAGTGATGCGTTGAGACAAAGTGAACTTTCCCAAAACCTCAATTCACTATCACTACCACAATAACAGGCATAATAATATGAAGGGGTGCAGAAGTTACACCACCCAAGACTTTCTATGGCTATGTTAGGCCCTCCAATCTGCTTTGACTGAATCACTTTAAGCCTTGGTGCTTTGTATATGCAGACAACCATGGCTGTTTCCAAGGAGGATAGGCTGTGTCAAGTAAACTCTACCAATGCCTAACCATTAAGCACCACCATGATAGGAGGCAGAAACTATGGAGATGTAGAGAACTAGTGTAGGCCTTAAAGTGTATTCAAAGCCCAAACCTTTTTTTTTTTTTAGTTTTGGGTAAAGCAAAGGGAAGGCTTAGAAACCCTATCAGGATTTATAGCTGTCAGCCTCCCTTCTGGAGCAACCAATTCAATGTTAGTATTTGGTTTCCAACTGTGCTAGAAACATGGTGGCTGGAGGTTGGTTGCTGTGAGCAGCTCCTCCGCTTTAATGCAATTTTACATATTATGCAGAGAGGTAGAATTGTCACTTTCTTTATTTGTTCATGTCGGTATGGTCACATGTGTTTCATGTCGGTATGGCCATATGTGTTTCATGTCAGTATGGTCACATGGTGATTCTTTTAATCTCCTTCTTTAGGGTATCGCTGGCTCTGATGGACTTCCAGGAGAGAAGGGAGAAATGGTATGTTATGTAAACCTCCACAAAGACGTAGGTTGTATCACTTGGCATCATCATCCAGGGCCACAGCCAGCCCAATCTGAAATGGGAACCGAGGCACTGCTACATTTGGGCATTATAAATAATCACATTCACAAATGTATTATGTATTATATCAGACTTCTTCTAAGGGGTGTCCCTACACCCTCGAAGGGTCATTGGCCCCGGGAGAGTATCTAGCTGTATAACGCCTAGCAGCTGTCACTGACTGCAGGGCCCAATCTGATCAATGTCTGGATATCCTCTTACCCAGTCCTCCGCTGCTCCTTAGCATGGCAGGGTGTAGGAAATACAGTATATTTGTACAGCTATAGGAGTGAATTTTTCTCTGTGTTCTGTTTTTTAGGGACCGTTTGGACCAGTTGGACAGAAGGGAGAGGTAAGAATAACCCTTACTCATTGTATAAAGTAGAATGTGTGTTTGGAAGGTCTTCTGGGAAATTGAGTTAACATGAAGATTGTTTAGCACAAAGTAACAACTGTGCTGTATTGTGTTCTTTGCGGGGTCGTGTTGAGCATTTGTGAAGTTGTGGCTGTGAGTGTCACTATTATACCAGGGAAGAATATGGCGTAACAAGGAACCCCGGTAGAGATGGAACATTGTTTTTGACTTCCTTCTCTATACAGCACTGTACCAGCCTGCAGAATAGAGCTACCAGACATAGAGGGCCCGAGCTTCTTAGGGGGTAATTGTCTCACACGGTCTGTAAGGTCAGAAACAACCCACCAAAGTTGCCTTAAAACCTTCTAGAACACGTTTATATCTCATTGGCTGATACTGGCCAACGTACACACTATAACGTGTTAAATACGCTCTACGTTCAGAAGTGATACCAACAAGCGTATTCAATATAACGGGTCAAAGTCTAATAAGCAGAGCAACCAATCACAGTTCATCCAGACCTGGACTGACAAACTGCGGTTAATAGTTCTTCGTGGTTTGCTCCTGAGTATCTGAGTGAAGAATGGACTTTATGTACCCAGAGACCAGATCCCATCCTCCTATTGGCTGACCTCTATGTCATTCACTCCTCATGAACTCTATGTATTGGGCTGCAAGCTTACTCCTCTTCTCCGTGCTTCTATGACCCTAGGCTGGATTCACTAGGCTAGAAAAGTCTTTATTTGTCTTAAGGACCAATATTGGCAGCAAGAGCTGAAAACACAAGACATGACAGACGTGTTATAGCTTTAGTGACTGACACTGTTGCATCTCGTTCTAGGCAGTATAGAGAGCAATGGAACCATTTTATTTTAGGGGTACTTCTAAGGAGAGCACAGAGCTCTATAGATATTGTAGACAACTAGGCCTAGTTCACACATGTATAAGCCTGTACATGCTAATATGAAGAGAGCTCTTAATAGGCATTGGTTGTAGCTTTAAACAAGCTTTGGCACTGGTTGTGGTCAGGATCTTATTGGGTATATAAACCAAAAGAAGTGCCAAACAGACGTCTATAGGGTCCAGACTGTAGGATTTAATTTCTCTAGGGACAACAGGAAAATACTGGCAGCCTACGCATTTCAGGAGCCAAACGATCCCCCTTAATCAGGGCTTCAGCACTAAGCAAAAAGTCAAATAAAACTCAGTGCATCTCCTAGGTTATTCAATCTACACTCAGAGACTGATCACAATATGGGTGCCTCTGTCAGATGCTTAGAACATCTGTTGGCAGTCCTTTGGGCTTGTATACGCATAGATTCTCAGGTGACCCTGGCCTCCGGGGAGATCTCTGCTTTGTGAAGAGCTGCTGACCACATGTGGCTATTTCAAGGACTTAGTTTTCTCATCATTATCTAGCTGCTCGCTTGCTCTTCCACCTAATGGGCTTAATGGGAGCATTGGATGTAGATTTAAATAAGCTATGACACTGCTTAAAACGTGCTAAAAGCTTATTGAAGGTGCAGCCAGCACCACCAAATAACAAGTGTGCGATGCTCCAGGATTTTTGTCAAAGGGCTCTTTTAAGGCTTCAAAAAAGCTGCCTGAAGCTTGCTTAAGGTTTGTATGTCTTTGCTGGGAACATTACTTCTCAGCCTAGCATATAAAAGCTGAAACCAGTGCAAACTGGGCCTTCCAAATGTCTTAGTTTTGCTACTCAACCGCATACAGAACCAATTCAATGACAATAAAGTTGTATGTTCTTCATTACCCTTGTAATGTCTTCTGTGTCTCTACCAGCCAGGAGTGAGAGGTGAACTAGGTCCTAAGGGTATTTCTGGGCCCAACGGCACAGCTGGAGTACTAGGCGTTCCCGGCCCACCAGGACCAATGGGATTCCAAGGAGAACAAGGCGTTCCAGGATTAACCGGGAAATCTGGAGTCCCTGTAAGTATACCTCTGTCTGTGCTTCTAGCTCAATACTGACTTGGAGTGGGGTCAAGGCCCTCTAAACAGCCATGGCCCGGGATGCGGGGTTCTCCCTGTGCATACAGATCACTTTAACTCTAATACCATTGCCAATTATTAAGCTGTGAAACACTGGGATTTTTGGCACACCTTGGTCCACATGCTCTGTGCCTGGACACTGCATAGTTATCCAACATGGCTTTACCCAAAGTGGAATTAATGATACTCTGCAACATCACTCTGAAGATTGAAAATTGTTAACCTGACCATAGATGACAAAGCAACAGGTATAATCTAATTGTAGTCCCACCAGTACATGAGTCTTAGGGTAGTGAAGTGGAGATATAAGTTGCTGGTGGGGCCACTATTCAAGTGAACCTGTTCCTTTGCCCTCCATGGGCAATGCACATGTTCTATTTAGATTGCCCATGTTCTATTTAGATTACGACCTTACTAATGATATTTTGTGGTTTCTAGGGCAAGCTGGCCAGCGAGCAGCAAATTCGGGAGTTGTGCGGTGGAATGATTAGCGGTGAGTCTTTCTGCATTTATAATAATTATTACTGGCCAAATCAGTGGCATGTTCAAAGCCCTTTGAAATGGTGAAAAAAATAAAAGGGAACATGGAGGTTCTGACATACGGCTTTCTTTAGCTCCTGTACAAACTCCAGTCAAGGAACAATGCCGTCAAGCAGGAACATTTGCCCCATATAGTCACAAACTATGCGGGTTATCTTCCTGCCTCTAATATTATTGCAGCTGTGATTTTGTTAACCTGATTGTCCATTCTGCAACCTTCTTTGGTGACTAGCAACCTGGATTCCATGTCCCCAAGCCCTCCGAGTCCAGTGCCTGTCCAAGACTAATAATCATAAGTTTGTATAATGCCCTAATGATGGTCCTATTTTGCACACCTCAGATCCATCCCATTCTTAGCATGAACTCTCATCATTCATACCCCTTATTCCCCCATCACTGCTGTTTGCAGAAACATTTGTATGCATAGAAGCTACATATCAGTATCAAAGTACAGGTCAAACCATATAATGTTCTGCATTAGTAGTGAATTCATTGCAATGCTTTTTGATGTCTTGCCTTCTATTTAGGATAATGACGATGGCATAAGTGTTGTCTTCTCTCTGTCTTCCTAGATCAAATTGCACAGCTAGCTGCTAATCTCAGAAGGCCTTTGGCTCCAGGAGCAGTTGGTCGGCCAGGTCCTCCTGGGCCACCTGGACCTCAAGGTGAAATTGGACGTGTAGGACATCCTGGTGCTCGTGGACCACCTGGATATAGTGGGCCAACCGGAGAACTGGGTGATCCCGGTTCTAGAGGTGAGGGCATGCTGCTGGTTAATCTGTGTTTATGTGCACTTTGTGTGGTCACTATGTTCATAATTTGTCAGTGCCACCTGTAATAATGCAATAGATCATATGGAGTGAGTACCTGCACTATATTATGCCCATCTCATGCTATGAAATTAGAACTACATACATCTGTTTTCTATTTTACTTGTCAAAGGATTGTTGTCCTCCCAGACTACATAGCCAGGCACACTTATTTCCTGTTTTAGAAGTTTTCGCTTACTATGTCACCCCTTTGGCCGGTTTATTGGACAGGGCATCAGCGCTGCTGTCCAATTAGCAAGGAGGTGACTCAGGAAGCACTAAAGCTGAACCAGGAGGTAGTAACGCTGCACAACCACGTATCACTGCGGTCTTCCTGGTTGTGCTATCTGGCAGAAGTTTATGAATCACAAAGGTGGTTTCACAGAAATACAAATCCTTTGGTAGGTAACACCCTTCATATCTATCTATCTATCTATCTATCTATCTATCTATCTATCTATCTATCTATCTATCTATCTCTCATATCTATCTATCTATCTATCTATCTATCTATCTATCTATCTATCTATCTATCTATCTATCTATCTATCTCTCATATCTATCTATCTATCTATCTATCTATCTATCTATCTATCTATCTATCTATCTATCTATCTATCTATCTATCTATCTCTCATATCTATCTATCTATCTATCTATCTATCTATCTATCTATCTATCTATCTATCTATCTATCTATCTATCTATCTATCT